ATTTGAGAGATTACCAGATGGCGATTACCTCACTTCACATGATTGGAATTCTACGTCGGCGTCGGTATTTTCGGCTTATACTGGGCATTGCAGTGATAGTATTCTTAACATTACTTATCAAGAGTATCATAGACCATTTTACGCAACCTTTAGACCGAATTGATCTCAGAAAATTTCCTAGTAATTATGACATCATTTCACCCGTGGCTGAACCACGAGGATACTCCGAACAGTCTTTATTTTTCTTAGTGATCGTTTCAACCTCTCCAAATAACGCGGATAGGAGGACCATGATACGTCAAACTTGGGGAAATTTCGACAGAAATCGTTTGCCTGGCGATCACCACTGGAAAGTTGTGTTTATGATGGGAAAAGCGGGGGCAGACGAAACGAACAACGCCATCATGTCGGAATACCAAAAATATGGAGACTTGATAATTGGAAATTACATGGACCAGTATAGAGCTATCGTTACAAAAGTCTTAATGGCATTTCAGTGGGCATCGAAAATAAGATGCAGTTATATTTTGAAGACGGATGACGATGTCTATGTCGATGTACCCAAGTTAGCACGATGGCTGATGAACGTTCGCAAAAATCCAACTTCTTTTTATGGCGGAGTTGTATTTAGTGGAGGCGTTGTGAGAGACAAAACTCATCGTCATTACATTTCCCGGGAAGAGCTATCCTTGGATTATTTCCCAGCGTTTTGTAAAGGGTTTATGTATGTAATTTCATGGAGTTTAATTCCAAAGATGGTCGACTTGTCGAGACATGTGACCAGGATTGGACCTGACGATGCATACGTCGGTCTTTTGGCTTATCAGCTTGGAATATCTCCTGTCAGAATTGAAGGATTTCTTCAAGCAGGTTGGTTACACTGGTGTGTAAGTTTTATCAGCTTGTGTCAGTTGCGAGAGCTTCTTGGAATCGGTGATTCTCTTACTCCAGATCAAGTAAGCTATGTGGACCAAGTAAAGACGTCTGTGTCAAACACTGAGAGATACACTGTTTGTATATCTCTACATACAAAACTTTTTCTGCTTTTGTTTTTCTTTCCTACCTTTCTGTTGTTCTTAATCTACAGGTGCTGCGGTAGAAGAGTTTGGCGTAGATTTAAAAAATAAAAATATGAGTACAGTTAAAATGTCACAAATGTTAATTTTTATGTGGGGGTGGAGGGGGGTGGGTGGGGTGCAGCTGGGAACAAGAGGGCAGGAATTGCAAGTCTATGGGCCTAGATTGAGATAAGTACTGCTGTCAAAGACGTTTCTGCTGACAACTGAATTTGACAATCATGACAATCGGTCACAAAATGTAACGGAAGAAAGAAGGGCCTTCTCATCTATCAATTCAAGCTACTACCGAAAAAGCAAGCGGTTGCATTCTCATCCCCCATTTCCACGCTCTATGTTAGGAACACCTGGGACTATGACCCCCCATTTGTTTACCAAATATGATGACGACAAATGCCCTGCATTTTATGACTTGGGCTTTCCTATGGATAAACTTTCCTATGGAAATTTGCCTTTTTACTTGGGCTTTCCTACAGAAGTCCAAGTAAAAAGGCAAATAAAGATTTGCCCTGGACAAGCAAAATTTGAGAACTGCTTTTCCATAGGACAAGCTGTAATTGAAGTTGTTTCCTAGCCTTGAGAAAGTATCTATACTGCTCCCTTACCTTTCTTGGGGTGGGTATGGATAATTCCGGAAAACATGACATCTTCCAGCCTTCCTTGGGAAACAAAAATTGCCATGCATACATGGTTTTACCTTTGAGGCTTGCCCTTTGGGCAAGCTCTAGCTATGATATGTTGGCCTAAAACTCATTCTCACTAACTTACTTCTGTAGTTTGATTTCCTCAAAAATTTCCTCAAGAAAGTTCACTAGCTTATTGAGCAAGTGACAGACAGGACGGTCAGTTTAAAATGCAGGCTATGGACTGCAGACCTTGGTAAAATGTAAACTGAGGGTAAAATGCAGCCTGCAGACTTATTGAGTAATCGCATTATTGCCATTATCAAGGGCTAACCTTATTTATAGGGTTATTGAAACTAATTTGAGCCTGGGAAAGTCTGCACTTCGGTTAGCCTGAATATCACACTGGTTAATCTGAATATCACTAGGGTTAGCCTGAATGAAGCGTCAGTTAGCCTGTTTTCAGTTAGACTTCAATGAACGAAATGGTAGCATGATCAGTTAACAAGTCTGCATTCTAGCCCCAGTCTGCTGTCTGCATTTTAACCCTGGTGTGCAGTCCACAGTCTGCGTTTTACACAGATCACAGACAGAATCCACTAGCTGCAGGTCATCTGACAGGACTTTCTTTGCATCGTGAACAGACAGTATCGCACTAATTGGAACCCATCCTTACTGTTCTACTTCTTTCATCAACATCCACATACTTTCTAATGTCAAATATAATTAAAAATGTGTTTTTTAAAAGATCTCCTGGTACAAGCTTGGACTTGAATATAAATAACAGCAGCATGTATTATGCATCTTATAGCTGACAATATCCTGGTTTGCCCTTGTTTTCAACCAATAAGTTAAACATGAAGTGCTATGTACTATAAAAGAAAGGGTAGTGAAGGAAGAGAAGCACTTTTTTCAATCATCAAACTAGACAAAGAATGAAACATGAAATGCTACCCCCAGAAGTGCCAAATGTTGTCCTCTTCCTAATGAAATCTTTTGAAGCCAAGAAAAAAAGGATAAAGTTAAACACAGTTCCAAAAATATAAGTTTAGAGGTAAAATTTATACCCTGCGAGCAGTTGGTTCGGCATAGGAGAAACTAACTGCTCACAGGGTATAAAATTAATTGTTACCAGTGGTGCAATGTATATACTGTAAGCACTAAAGAATTCTTCATTGTGGTGCTTAATTTCATATGCTTGTAATGTATGGTCATATGGTTTGTATGGAAACTACGATTTCTAAACATACAATACACGAAATTCAAACATGATGTGGGGAGAATGAGAGGTTAAGTCACTTACAGTACACAATTGTATTTAATGCTTAATATATATTTATAATCTCTTCCTTCAATACAAACACCTTTCAGTTTCTCAATAAAATTAATGTTTAGATATTTAAATCATCATCGGGATCGTCTTCATCAAAGTCGTCTGCTTCATCAGGTTGGTAAAAGACTCTCCCCTCTCCTACTGAGTTTACTGCCACCTCGCTTTTCTTCTCTTCATGGTACATGTATGGAAGTTTCAGGTTGGCCCGAGCTTGACGTTCATTTTCTGTCAGTTTGAGGTTGAATGTGAGGTTTTGAGTTGGATCAACCTACGAGAGTATGAAATAAAGATTAAATTAGGGTGGAAAATCACTGAGGACTAGCATGATTTGGTGCATATAGTGGTTAGAGAACTGCACTCCAGCTTCAGTAGCAGTGATTAAGAATATTGCTCCTCCCTGGGATGGTATACCAGTTCATGCAGATGAAACTTAAAATTTTGACAAGGCCAAATAGTTTGATGGTATTTATTTAATACTCTTGGGCTGGGTTGTTCAAAGCCCTATTATGCTGATCCACGATTAGCGAGAATTTTGATTTCAGTTTTGTAACTTTTTGGTAAGGTTTTCTGTTCATATTATTGTTTGTCCTTCAGTTTTTAATTTGTATAATCTCAAACTGCACAAAACATAAGCAGTGAAAAACATTTTTATGCAAGAAAGAATAATTCCTCAGTTAACTTTTAATCCTGAGTTAGCGTCAACGAGCTTTCAAACAACCTGGCCTTGACTAGTGAGAAACACTGTGAGAATAAAGTGTTTACCCAGGGACACAACACAATGACCCTGGACTGGTCTCAAACTCTGATCACTTCATTAAGATTCCTACACACTCATCAGGTCACAGTTCCTCCCATCATAACAAAAAATAACCACTTTAAACAGGAGAGCATGTTGTGATGCATTCACCTCTTGAACAGCCAGTGGTTCACTGTGGGCCGTAGAAGAGGAAGCATTCCAATCCTTTTCTTCATGTTCTGTCAGTTCATAGTTATCGCCAAGGGTGAAGCTTTCAACCTTGAATAACAATTTATTATTTACAATTGATGTTAATATTTACAAATATTCCTTTTCATTTGTATAATTTTGGTTTAAAAATGCCCCCCTCCTCCCCACCTTTCTGAAAATTCCAATAAACCTCTGTCAGTGTCTTTGCAGAAATCTGCCTTTTGAAACCCCCTCCCTCTTGACTTGGAAATGATTTCCAATTACCCTTCCTTGCGGTGACTACGCATAAATCCTGTCGAAGCTTCAGGGCCATGAAAAAGTTCCATGAAAAAGTTCTGACTGAGGCAATGTCCTTGAAAAAATTATGACCAAGGCAATGTCCATGAGAAAATTATGACTGAGGTAATGTCCATGAGAAAATTATGACTGAGGCAATGTCAATGAGAAAATTAGGACTCGGGCAATGTTTATGGTTAAATTCTCTTTCTAGATATTAATGGTGTTTATGATGAGTGTAAACAACAACAACAACAAAAACAACACTTAGGCAAGTGCCTTGGTTTGCCTGTTACAGTAACTATGTACAGCATAGCTATGGCCCTGACCTTATATCTACAATGTTTTTATACAGAAGTCATTAAATTATCCCATTGCAGTACCTTTCTGATCACTTTTCCTGTTTTTCTTTTGTGGAGAATTCTACACCAACTAACTGATGGATCTATAACAAATTATAACCAAACTTGTAATTATGATAATGCATGATAAAATGCATAAGAATTGTAAATTACTTCACATGAATTCACACTTTCTCTCTTTTGAAACTTACACTGATTACACTTATAGCCAGAATAGTAGTTTGGGTATTTACCAGAATTTTTTTGCTCAAGGTCTTGTGTCATCCAAAGCAGTGATGAAGCTAGGAAATTGACGGCATTCAAAGTCTGATCATCATGAAGATCTGTGTGCACCAAACCAACAACCTGAACAACTTGATAACCTGACAAGAAAAAAAAAGGATTTTAAATCAGAAAATATTTCCTTTGAAACTATTTATCTCTGAAGGAAATTAAGGTGGCTCGATTGGATTTTTCAATAGTGACACCTTTCAACTTTAAATATAAATTACAACGTACTAAAACAAAATACAGGAGATTGATATCCACACTCTTGCTAGGGATAGACCAAAATTTCGGGTGTGGTGTATTTTATTGAGATCAGAGTTACCATTAGCAATGCAATGATGTCAATGCTTTTTGTACTCATGGTCAATTTTCTTGATTCAAATCTAGAGGTTTTCTTTCTAAACTGTCTACTGTACTTGTAGTTTATATAGCGTGCCTAATGTGTAGCGAGTGTAAACAAATTCTATGAGAGCGATTTCGAGAAAACTTCAGCTGAAGTGAATACGACATCAGAAATAAGCATTGCCCAGATGGGCCTCAAAGACTTCAACATTATGCACTAAATGGTCATGAATAATATCACATACCTGTCTGTGAGTCAGGAGGATTGGAATACAGCTGATTGAGTAATGTGCACACTGTTGACGAGGATTTCCATAGCAACAGTCTGCTTAAGGAATTGATTACAATAGCTACTTTAGTTATATAACCTAGAAAAATACAAACAGAATCCATTCATTAAAACAAGAGTCACTGTTGTTCTTATAAATTTCTTTCATTAATTTATAAATTATATTACACAATAACTGAGCTACTACATGCGCTCTCATTGGTCAACAGGTGTGTTTAGATGAGAGTATATATAAACACGGTTGTGACGTATAAGATTTGCACCTGTATTTGAGAATTATTGAAATAANAACAATAATAATTAAAAATAATATTCTAATTAAAATAAGAACCTTCTTAGCATCCTTTGCAGCTAAAAAAAATTGCATGTCAAATATGTTTGTCAGTTTTGAAATCCGGGAGGGTGCCACATTATTGGAAAATAACTGTTGCCCTGAAATATATCAGGAGCCCATTACCCGGAGCTTCCATCTTCCATACTGACCCTCTGATTCAACCCTGTCTCGTATCTTTTTATTTTTAGAAGCACCTCCCACGGAGGTTTTCGCGGGTGTTTTTATAATAGCCAATCATGAGAGAGCTGTGGTGGCCTGCATGTGACGTATAACCATAGAGGACACGAAAGTATTTCAATGATGGCGGAAAGCGATGAAAGTTTATTATTTTTTAAGGAAGTTATGCGGACGTCAGCGTGTTTTCGCGGGAAGTTACAGAACTCCCGCAGATATCACAGTTCTAAAAATAAAAAGGTACGGGATAGGGTTGACTCAAGGGTACAATTCATATGGAGGCTCCGGGTAATGGGCTCCTGTTAAATATTAATGCAAATATTAATTTAAATTAACTTAGCACGCGGCCAACGCCAACTTATATCTACATGACAGTGACCAACTCGAAAGCTCATTGGCTACTTTGGTCACTGTCAGGAGCCCATGACCATGAGCTCCTGTCACTGTAGACCATTAAATATTGTTTCTTTTAGTTAATTTCTATCTGTATTTATTTTTCCTATATCATTGTAAACCATCTTACGTTAAGTTGTTTTTCTCTGTAAATAGTGTGCGATAATAAAAAAACTGAAAACTTAAAACTGAAACTGAGAGGTGGTCGCAACCCACTTGTGACGCACTCGTGGCTCTTTAGAAAGTGATGACGTCACGTGAAAACGATCTCCTGTCTGGGGACTGGTATCGACAAGAGTTCGGTTCGTGGCCAACCGGCCTCTGGGTATTGACACTACAGGTAGACGATTTGAGAGATTACCAGATGGCGATTACCTCACTTCACATGATTGGAATTCTACGTCGGCGTCGGTATTTTCGGCTTATACTGGGCATTGCAGTGATAGTATTCTTAACATTACTTATCAAGAGTATCATAGACCATTTTACGCAACCTTTAGACCGAATTGATCTCAGAAAATTTCCTAGTAATTATGACATCATTTCACCCGTGGCTGAACCACGAGGATACTCCGAACAGTCTTTATTTTTCTTAGTGATCGTTTCAACCTCTCCAAATAACGCGGATAGGAGGACCATGATACGTCAAACTTGGGGAAATTTCGACAGAAATCGTTTGCCTGGCGATCACCACTGGAAAGTTGTGTTTATGATGGGAAAAGCGGGGGCAGACGAAACGAACAACGCCATCATGTCGGAATACCAAAAATATGGAGACTTGATAATTGGAAATTACATGGACCAGTATAGAGCTATCGTTACAAAAGTCTTAATGGCATTTCAGTGGGCATCGAAAATAAGATGCAGTTATATTTTGAAGACGGATGACGATGTCTATGTCGATGTACCCAAGTTAGCACGATGGCTGATGAACGTTCGCAAAAATCCAACTTCTTTTTATGGCGGAGTTGTATTTAGTGGAGGCGTTGTGAGAGACAAAACTCATCGTCATTACATTTCCCGGGAAGAGCTATCCTTGGATTATTTCCCAGCGTTTTGTAAAGGGTTTATGTATGTAATTTCATGGAGTTTAATTCCAAAGATGGTCGACTTGTCGAGACATGTGACCAGGATTGGACCTGACGATGCATACGTCGGTCTTTTGGCTTATCAGCTTGGAATATCTCCTGTCAGAATTGAAGGATTTCTTCAAGCAGGTTGGTTACACTGGTGTGTAAGTTTTATCAGCTTGTGTCAGTTGCGAGAGCTTCTTGGAATCGGTGATTCTCTTACTCCAGATCAAGTAAGCTATGTGGACCAAGTAAAGACGTCTGTGTCAAACACTGAGAGATACACTGTTTGTATATCTCTACATACAAAACTTTTTCTGCTTTTGTTTTTCTTTCCTACCTTTCTGTTGTTCTTAATCTACAGGTGCTGCGGTAGAAGAGTTTGGCGTAGATTTAAAAAATAAAAATATGAGTACAGTTAAAATGTCACAAATGTTAATTTTTATGTGGGGGTGGAGGGGGGTGGGTGGGGTGCAGCTGGGAACAAGAGGGCAGGAATTGCAAGTCTATGGGCCTAGATTGAGATAAGTACTGCTGTCAAAGACGTTTCTGCTGACAACTGAATTTGACAATCATGACAATCGGTCACAAAATGTAACGGAAGAAAGAAGGGCCTTCTCATCTATCAATTCAAGCTACTACCGAAAAAGCAAGCGGTTGCATTCTCATCCCCCATTTCCACGCTCTATGTTAGGAACACCTGGGACTATGACCCCCCATTTGTTTACCAAATATGATGACGACAAATGCCCTGCATTTTATGACTTGGGCTTTCCTATGGATAAACTTTCCTATGGAAATTTGCCTTTTTACTTGGGCTTTCCTACAGAAGTCCAAGTAAAAAGGCAAATAAAGATTTGCCCTGGACAAGCAAAATTTGAGAACTGCTTTTCCATAGGACAAGCTGTAATTGAAGTTGTTTCCTAGCCTTGAGAAAGTATCTATACTGCTCCCTTACCTTTCTTGGGGTGGGTATGGATAATTCCGGAAAACATGACATCTTCCAGCCTTCCTTGGGAAACAAAAATTGCCATGCATACATGGTTTTACCTTTGAGGCTTGCCCTTTGGGCAAGCTCTAGCTATGATATGTTGGCCTAAAACTCATTCTCACTAACTTACTTCTGTAGTTTGATTTCCTCAAAAATTTCCTCAAGAAAGTTCACTAGCTTATTGAGCAAGTGACAGACAGGACGGTCAGTTTAAAATGCAGGCTATGGACTGCAGACCTTGGTAAAATGTAAACTGAGGGTAAAATGCAGCCTGCAGACTTATTGAGTAATCGCATTATTGCCATTATCAAGGGCTAACCTTATTTATAGGGTTATTGAAACTAATTTGAGCCTGGGAAAGTCTGCACTTCGGTTAGCCTGAATATCACACTGGTTAATCTGAATATCACTAGGGTTAGCCTGAATGAAGCGTCAGTTAGCCTGTTTTCAGTTAGACTTCAATGAACGAAATGGTAGCATGATCAGTTAACAAGTCTGCATTCTAGCCCCAGTCTGCTGTCTGCATTTTAACCCTGGTGTGCAGTCCACAGTCTGCGTTTTACACAGATCACAGACAGAATCCACTAGCTGCAGGTCATCTGACAGGACTTTCTTTGCATCGTGAACAGACAGTATCGCACTAATTGGAACCCATCCTTACTGTTCTACTTCTTTCATCAACATCCACATACTTTCTAATGTCAAATATAATTAAAAATGTGTTTTTTAAAAGATCTCCTGGTACAAGCTTGGACTTGAATATAAATAACAGCAGCATGTATTATGCATCTTATAGCTGACAATATCCTGGTTTGCCCTTGTTTTCAACCAATAAGTTAAACATGAAGTGCTATGTACTATAAAAGAAAGGGTAGTGAAGGAAGAGAAGCACTTTTTTCAATCATCAAACTAGACAAAGAATGAAACATGAAATGCTACCCCCAGAAGTGCCAAATGTTGTCCTCTTCCTAATGAAATCTTTTGAAGCCAAGAAAAAAAGGATAAAGTTAAACACAGTTCCAAAAATATAAGTTTAGAGGTAAAATTTATACCCTGCGAGCAGTTGGTTCGGCATAGGAGAAACTAACTGCTCACAGGGTATAAAATTAATTGTTACCAGTGGTGCAATGTATATACTGTAAGCACTAAAGAATTCTTCATTGTGGTGCTTAATTTCATATGCTTGTAATGTATGGTCATATGGTTTGTATGGAAACTACGATTTCTAAACATACAATACACGAAATTCAAACATGATGTGGGGAGAATGAGAGGTTAAGTCACTTACAGTACACAATTGTATTTAATGCTTAATATATATTTATAATCTCTTCCTTCAATACAAACACCTTTCAGTTTCTCAATAAAATTAATGTTTAGATATTTAAATCATCATCGGGATCGTCTTCATCAAAGTCGTCTGCTTCATCAGGTTGGTAAAAGACTCTCCCCTCTCCTACTGAGTTTACTGCCACCTCGCTTTTCTTCTCTTCATGGTACATGTATGGAAGTTTCAGGTTGGCCCGAGCTTGACGTTCATTTTCTGTCAGTTTGAGGTTGAATGTGAGGTTTTGAGTTGGATCAACCTACGAGAGTATGAAATAAAGATTAAATTAGGGTGGAAAATCACTGAGGACTAGCATGATTTGGTGCATATAGTGGTTAGAGAACTGCACTCCAGCTTCAGTAGCAGTGATTAAGAATATTGCTCCTCCCTGGGATGGTATACCAGTTCATGCAGATGAAACTTAAAATTTTGACAAGGCCAAATAGTTTGATGGTATTTATTTAATACTCTTGGGCTGGGTTGTTCAAAGCCCTATTATGCTGATCCACGATTAGCGAGAATTTTGATTTCAGTTTTGTAACTTTTTGGTAAGGTTTTCTGTTCATATTATTGTTTGTCCTTCAGTTTTTAATTTGTATAATCTCAAACTGCACAAAACATAAGCAGTGAAAAACATTTTTATGCAAGAAAGAATAATTCCTCAGTTAACTTTTAATCCTGAGTTAGCGTCAACGAGCTTTCAAACAACCTGGCCTTGACTAGTGAGAAACACTGTGAGAATAAAGTGTTTACCCAGGGACACAACACAATGACCCTGGACTGGTCTCAAACTCTGATCACTTCATTAAGATTCCTACACACTCATCAGGTCACAGTTCCTCCCATCATAACAAAAAATAACCACTTTAAACAGGAGAGCATGTTGTGATGCATTCACCTCTTGAACAGCCAGTGGTTCACTGTGGGCCGTAGAAGAGGAAGCATTCCAATCCTTTTCTTCATGTTCTGTCAGTTCATAGTTATCGCCAAGGGTGAAGCTTTCAACCTTGAATAACAATTTATTATTTACAATTGATGTTAATATTTACAAATATTCCTTTTCATTTGTATAATTTTGGTTTAAAAATGCCCCCCTCCTCCCCACCTTTCTGAAAATTCCAATAAACCTCTGTCAGTGTCTTTGCAGAAATCTGCCTTTTGAAACCCCCTCCCTCTTGACTTGGAAATGATTTCCAATTACCCTTCCTTGCGGTGACTACGCATAAATCCTGTCGAAGCTTCAGGGCCATGAAAAAGTTCCATGAAAAAGTTCTGACTGAGGCAATGTCCTTGAAAAAATTATGACCAAGGCAATGTCCATGAGAAAATTATGACTGAGGTAATGTCCATGAGAAAATTATGACTGAGGCAATGTCAATGAGAAAATTAGGACTCGGGCAATGTTTATGGTTAAATTCTCTTTCTAGATATTAATGGTGTTTATGATGAGTGTAAACAACAACAACAACAAAAACAACACTTAGGCAAGTGCCTTGGTTTGCCTGTTACAGTAACTATGTACAGCATAGCTATGGCCCTGACCTTATATCTACAATGTTTTTATACAGAAGTCATTAAATTATCCCATTGCAGTACCTTTCTGATCACTTTTCCTGTTTTTCTTTTGTGGAGAATTCTACACCAACTAACTGATGGATCTATAACAAATTATAACCAAACTTGTAATTATGATAATGCATGATAAAATGCATAAGAATTGTAAATTACTTCACATGAATTCACACTTTCTCTCTTTTGAAACTTACACTGATTACACTTATAGCCAGAATAGTAGTTTGGGTATTTACCAGAATTTTTTTGCTCAAGGTCTTGTGTCATCCAAAGCAGTGATGAAGCTAGGAAATTGACGGCATTCAAAGTCTGATCATCATGAAGATCTGTGTGCACCAAACCAACAACCTGAACAACTTGATAACCTGACAAGAAAAAAAAAGGATTTTAAATCAGAAAATATTTCCTTTGAAACTATTTATCTCTGAAGGAAATTAAGGTGGCTCGATTGGATTTTTCAATAGTGACACCTTTCAACTTTAAATATAAATTACAACGTACTAAAACAAAATACAGGAGATTGATATCCACACTCTTGCTAGGGATAGACCAAAATTTCGGGTGTGGTGTATTTTATTGAGATCAGAGTTACCATTAGCAATGCAATGATGTCAATGCTTTTTGTACTCATGGTCAATTTTCTTGATTCAAATCTAGAGGTTTTCTTTCTAAACTGTCTACTGTACTTGTAGTTTATATAGCGTGCCTAATGTGTAGCGAGTGTAAACAAATTCTATGAGAGCGATTTCGAGAAAACTTCAGCTGAAGTGAATACGACATCAGAAATAAGCATTGCCCAGATGGGCCTCAAAGACTTCAACATTATGCACTAAATGGTCATGAATAATATCACATACCTGTCTGTGAGTCAGGAGGATTGGAATACAGCTGATTGAGTAATGTGCACACTGTTGACGAGGATTTCCATAGCAACAGTCTGCTTAAGGAATTGATTACAATAGCTACTTTAGTTATATAACCTAGAAAAATACAAACAGAATCCATTCATTAAAACAAGAGTCACTGTTGTTCTTATAAATTTCTTTCATTAATTTATAAATTATATTACACAATAACTGAGCTACTACATGCGCTCTCATTGGTCAACAGGTGTGTTTAGATGAGAGTATATATAAACACGGTTGTGACGTATAAGATTTGCACCTGTATTTGAGAATTATTGAAATAAAGTTATGCAAACCCTCGACAACATCTCGGGTTTGTGTAACTGTTTTGAATTCTCCCAACCCTCCTCGTGTTTAGATGAGGTTATGTAAACATGGAAAAAGTGTTCTATTGCTTAATTATTTACTATTTCACTTTTCTAAAATAAGTCTTCATAATTCTTACTAGGATTGCTGTTTTGGGAGGAACGACTTGCCAAGTTACTCTTAACCACTTGTGCTGCATTAGAGTTCTGATGGATAACACAGACACGACTGTTATCACAATCGTTTCTGCAAAAAGGAGGAAATATGTTAAATAAGAAATTTTCCACAAATTTATGGCCATATTTATTTACAGCATTGTAATGCAAAAGCTAGTATTTCTTTATTTACAGAAACAGTGACATTAGTAGACCAATGATCTTTATCAGGGAGGGGAGGGGGGTGTTCCTAGCTGCAACAATAATTAAAAAATAAACTTAACGTCCCGTAAATAGAAAAATAATGCAAAAAGGTTGTTAAATCATAAAAAGAGGAAAAAAAACCTTTTGCTTTAAACATCTTAAAAAATTCAGACCTAAGAAAATTGTAAGTAATGACATGTAATACAAGTTTGAGTCACGTAAGTGTTGCTATGATTAAAAAAAAAAAATTGTATAGAAAACAAATAGCTGCAATGATTATCATAATAATTAAGTTGAATCAAAGAGGTGATTAAAGGATTTTGTAAAAAGTGAAGCTTATTAAATTTCTTACCTTGAGAGATCCCATCCAAGAGGATCAGAGAAACCATCATAGCAGAAAATCCTATGAGTATTTATAATAAGGATAATACGTAAACATTAAGCATGAAACTGAGATTTACCACTGACATTGTTTTTCACTATCAGAGTTAGACAGAGTCGAATTTAAAAATGTCAACAAGAAGTGAGACACAATGTACAACTCTAAACCTTTCTCTCAAATGCGAGTCAAATGCACCAATGAACTGTTCAGGTGACATATCNATGACAATCGGTCACAAAATGTAACGGAAGAAAGAAGGGCCTTCTCATCTATCAATTCAAGCTACTACCGAAAAAGCAAGCGGTTGCATTCTCATCCCCCATTTCCACGCTCTATGTTAGGAACACCTGGGACTATGACCCCCCATTTGTTTACCAAATATGATGACGACAAATGCCCTGCATTTTATGACTTGGGCTTTCCTATGGATAAACTTTCCTATGGAAATTTGCCTTTTTACTTGGGCTTTCCTACAGAAGTCCAAGTAAAAAGGCAAATAAAGATTTGCCCTGGACAAGCAAAATTTGAGAACTGCTTTTCCATAGGACAAGCTGTAATTGAAGTTGTTTCCTAGCCTTGAGAAAGTATCTATACTGCTCCCTTACCTTTCTTGGGGTGGGTATGGATAATTCCGGAAAACATGACATCTTCCAGCCTTCCTTGGGAAACAAAAATTGCCATGCATACATGGTTTTACCTTTGAGGCTTGCCCTTTGGGCAAGCTCTAGCTATGATATGTTGGCCTAAAACTCATTCTCACTAACTTACTTCTGTAGTTTGATTTCCTCAAAAATTTCCTCAAGAAAGTTCACTAGCTTATTGAGCAAGTGACAGACAGGACGGTCAGTTTAAAATGCAGGCTATGGACTGCAGACCTTGGTAAAATGTAAACTGAGGGTAAAATGCAGCCTGCAGACTTATTGAGTAATCGCATTATTGCCATTATCAAGGGCTAACCTTATTTATAGGGTTATTGAAACTAATTTGAGCCTGGGAAAGTCTGCACTTCGGTTAGCCTGAATATCACACTGGTTAATCTGAATATCACTAGGGTTAGCCTGAATGAAGCGTCAGTTAGCCTGTTTTCAGTTAGACTTCAATGAACGAAATGGTAGCATGATCAGTTAACAAGTCTGCATTCTAGCCCCAGTCTGCTGTCTGCATTTTAACCCTGGTGTGCAGTCCACAGTCTGCGTTTTACACAGATCACAGACAGAATCCACTAGCTGCAGGTCATCTGACAGGACTTTCTTTGCATCGTGAACAGACAGTATCGCACTAATTGGAACCCATCCTTACTGTTCTACTTCTTTCATCAACATCCACATACTTTCTAATGTCAAATATAATTAAAAATGTGTTTTTTAAAAGATCTCCTGGTACAAGCTTGGACTTGAATATAAATAACAGCAGCATGTATTATGCATCTTATAGCTGACAATATCCTGGTTTGCCCTTGTTTTCAACCAATAAGTTAAACATGAAGTGCTATGTACTATAAAAGAAAGGGTAGTGAAGGAAGAGAAGCACTTTTTTCAATCATCAAACTAGACAAAGAATGAAACATGAAATGCTACCCCCAGAAGTGCCAAATGTTGTCCTCTTCCTAATGAAATCTTTTGAAGCCAAGAAAAAAAGGATAAAGTTAAACACAGTTCCAAAAATATAAGTTTAGAGGTAAAATTTATACCCTGCGAGCAGTTGGTTCGGCATAGGAGAAACTAACTGCTCACAGGGTATAAAATTAATTGTTACCAGTGGTGCAATGTATATACTGTAAGCACTAAAGAATTCTTCATTGTGGTGCTTAATTTCATATGCTTGTAATGTATGGTCATATGGTTTGTATGGAAACTACGATTTCTAAACATACAATACACGAAATTCAAACATGATGTGGGGAGAATGAGAGGTTAAGTCACTTACAGTACACAATTGTATTTAATGCTTAATATATATTTATAATCTCTTCCTTCAATACAAACACCTTTCAGTTTCTCAATAAAATTAATGTTTAGATATTTAAATCATCATCGGGATCGTCTTCATCAAAGTCGTCTGCTTCATCAGGTTGGTAAAAGACTCTCCCCTCTCCTACTGAGTTTACTGCCACCTCGCTTTTCTTCTCTTCATGGTACATGTATGGAAGTTTCAGGTTGGCCCGAGCTTGACGTTCATTTTCTGTCAGTTTGAGGTTGAATGTGAGGTTTTGAGTTGGATCAACCTACGAGAGTATGAAATAAAGATTAAATTAGGGTGGAAAATCACTGAGGACTAGCATGATTTGGTGCATATAGTGGTTAGAGAACTGCACTCCAGCTTCAGTAGCAGTGATTAAGAATATTGCTCCTCCCTGGGATGGTATACCAGTTCATGCAGATGAAACTTAAAATTTTGACAAGGCCAAATAGTTTGATGGTATTTATTTAATACTCTTGGGCTGGGTTGTTCAAAGCCCTATTATGCTGATCCACGATTAGCGAGAATTTTGATTTCAGTTTTGTAACTTTTTGGTAAGGTTTTCTGTTCATATTATTGTTTGTCCTTCAGTTTTTAATTTGTATAATCTCAAACTGCACAAAACATAAGCAGTGAAAAACATTTTTATGCAAGAAAGAATAATTCCTCAGTTAACTTTTAATCCTGAGTTAGCGTCAACGAGCTTTCAAACAACCTGGCCTTGACTAGTGAGAAACACTGTGAGAATAAAGTGTTTACCCAGGGACACAACACAATGACCCTGGACTGGTCTCAAACTCTGATCACTTCATTAAGATTCCTACACACTCATCAGGTCACAGTTCCTCCCATCATAACAAAAAATAACCACTTTAAACAGGAGAGCATGTTGTGATGCATTCACCTCTTGAACAGCCAGTGGTTCACTGTGGGCCGTAGAAGAGGAAGCATTCCAATCCTTTTCTTCATGTTCTGTCAGTTCATAGTTATCGCCAAGGGTGAAGCTTTCAACCTTGAATAACAATTTATTATTTACAATTGATGTTAATATTTACAAATATTCCTTTTCATTTGTATAATTTTGGTTTAAAAATGCCCCCCTCCTCCCCACCTTTCTGAAAATTCCAATAAACCTCTGTCAGTGTCTTTGCAGAAATCTGCCTTTTGAAACCCCCTCCCTCTTGACTTGGAAATGATTTCCAATTACCCTTCCTTGCGGTGACTACGCATAAATCCTGTCGAAGCTTCAGGGCCATGAAAAAGTTCCATGAAAAAGTTCTGACTGAGGCAATGTCCTTGAAAAAATTATGACCAAGGCAATGTCCATGAGAAAATTATGACTGAGGTAATGTCCATGAGAAAATTATGACTGAGGCAATGTCAATGAGAAAATTAGGACTCGGGCAATGTTTATGGTTAAATTCTCTTTCTAGATATTAATGGTGTTTATGATGAGTGTAAACAACAACAACAACAAAAACAACACTTAGGCAAGTGCCTTGGTTTGCCTGTTACAGTAACTATGTACAGCATAGCTATGGCCCTGACCTTATATCTACAATGTTTTTATACAGAAGTCATTAAATTATCCCATTGCAGTACCTTTCTGATCACTTTTCCTGTTTTTCTTTTGTGGAGAATTCTACACCAACTAACTGATGGATCTATAACAAATTATAACCAAACTTGTAATTATGATAATGCATGATAAAATGCATAAGAATTGTAAATTACTTCACATGAATTCACACTTTCTCTCTTTTGAAACTTACACTGATTACACTTATAGCCAGAATAGTAGTTTGGGTATTTACCAGAATTTTTTTGCTCAAGGTCTTGTGTCATCCAAAGCAGTGATGAAGCTAGGAAATTGACGGCATTCAAAGTCTGATCATCATGAAGATCTGTGTGCACCAAACCAACAACCTGAACAACTTGATAACCTGACAAGAAAAAAAAAGGATTTTAAATCAGAAAATATTTCCTTTGAAACTATTTATCTCTGAAGGAAATTAAGGTGGCTCGATTGGATTTTTCAATAGTGACACCTTTCAACTTTAAATATAAATTACAACGTACTAAAACAAAATACAGGAGATTGATATCCACACTCTTGCTAGGGATAGACCAAAATTTCGGGTGTGGTGTATTTTATTGAGATCAGAGTTACCATTAGCAATGCAATGATGTCAATGCTTTTTGTACTCATGGTCAATTTTCTTGATTCAAATCTAGAGGTTTTCTTTCTAAACTGTCTACTGTACTTGTAGTTTATATAGCGTGCCTAATGTGTAGCGAGTGTAAACAAATTCTATGAGAGCGATTTCGAGAAAACTTCAGCTGAAGTGAATACGACATCAGAAATAAGCATTGCCCAGATGGGCCTCAAAGACTTCAACATTATGCACTAAATGGTCATGAATAATATCACATACCTGTCTGTGAGTCAGGAGGATTGGAATACAGCTGATTGAGTAATGTGCACACTGTTGACGAGGATTTCCATAGCAACAGTCTGCTTAAGGAATTGATTACAATAGCTACTTTAGTTATATAACCTAGAAAAATACAAACAGAATCCATTCATTAAAACAAGAGTCACTGTTGTTCTTATAAATTTCTTTCATTAATTTATAAATTATATTACACAATAACTGAGCTACTACATGCGCTCTCATTGGTCAACAGGTGTGTTTAGATGAGAGTATATATAAACACGGTTGTGACGTATAAGATTTGCACCTGTATTTGAGAATTATTGAAATAAGGTTATGCAAACCCTCGACAACATCTCGGGTTTGTGTAACTGCTTTGAATTCTCCCAACCGTCCTCGTGTTTAGATGAGGTTATGTAAACACGGAAAAAGTGTTCTATTGCTTAATTATTTACTATTTCACTTTTCTAAAATCAGTCTTCATAATTCTTACCAGGATTGCTGTTTTGGGAGGAATGACTTGCCAAGTTACTCTTAACCACTTGTGCTACATTAGAGTTCTGATGGATAACACAGACACGACTATTATCACAATCGTTTCTGCAAAAAGGACGAAATATGTTAAATGAGAAATTTTCCACAAATTTATGGCCATATTTATTTACAGCCATATTTATTTACAGCATTGTAATGCAAAAGCTAGTATTTCCTTATTTACAGAAACAGAGAGATTATTGGACCAATGATTTTTATTAGGGAGGGGAGGGGGGTGTGTTGCTAGCTGCAACAATAATTAAAAAATAAAGTTAATGTCCTGTAAATAAATAAATAATGCAAAATGGTTGTTTATCATAAAAAAGGGAAAAAAAACTTTTGCTTTAAGCATTGTTATAAATTCAGACCTAAGAAAATTGTAAGTAATGACATGTAATACAAGTTTGAGTCATGTAAGTGTTGCTATGATTAAATAAAAAAAATGTATAGAAAAAAAAGAGCTGAAATATTAATAATTAAGTTGAATCAAAGAGATGATTAAAGGATTTTATAAAAAGTGAAGCTTATTAAATTTCTTACCTTGAGAGATGCCATCCAAGAGGATCAGAGAAACCATCATAGCAGAAAATCCTATGGATATTTATAATAAGGATATTACGTAAACATTAAGCATGAAACTGTGATTTACCACTGACATTGTTTTTCACTATCAGAGTTAGACAGAGTCAAATTTAAAAATGTCAACAAGAAGTGAGACAAAATGTACAACTCTAAACCTTTCTCTCAAATGCGAGTCAAATGCACCAATGAACTGTTCAGGTGACATATCCCACAGTATGGCATGTATGACGTCAGCGCTGAAAAACAACAAAATTTAAGCCCACATTTATAATATGCAAATATTAGCACTCAAGAAAACTACAACAACTAAAACTATCTTCAAACAGATTAATTGGTCTGTTTTCAGCTGAATTGGGGATTTAGAATAATGTAGAGTAAGCAAAGTAAATTGAGCCGGTTCACTGAAGCTATCTATTGAAATGGGCCATTCCATTTAATATCTGCACCCCCCCTATTGAGGTTAGGGGAAATCCGAGGGGGAGGGGGGGG